CGGCAGGAATGACATAATGGAGGATCGTAAGCATACTAGGGAGCGTCAGCGCCGTACATCTCGTTCAGGCGCTCCTCCTCATTCTCGTCATCTTCATCCGATTCGTCACCGGGCGTCAGGCCGAGCGTGTTAGTCTGACGCTTCTTCTTCTTGCCGGCCGATGCAGCGTCAGGCTTCGGATGCGGGGTGGGAGGTGTCTGAGCCGCCGGTCCTTGTTATGGTTGTGGTTGCGGCCGCGGTTCTTGTCACCTCCGAACTGAGGGCGAGACTTGTTGTGGTGGAAACCGCCGCGGCCGTGATGGCGCGAACCACCAGAATGGCCATCAAACGGCGGGGTGGGCGCATAGGGTGCCGGTTTGCGGGTAGCTCGGAAGGGGCAGGATACGACGCCGGAGGGGCAGGAGGGCCGCCTAAGGGTAAGGGAGTGCTCACCGGAGGCGGGGTGCTGTCTGGAGCTGGCCACCATCAAAACCCATGCGAATCGGAGGGCCCATCATCTGCCCCCTTTGGTCCCCCTCGATCATTGTAGCCGCCACGGCCGCCACGTCCACCGCCGCCGCCATATGTACCGTGGGCCGGAGGTTGCTGTGGATGAGCTCCCCACTGCTGAGCCGGGGGACCATTGTGCGGGCCCGGGGCCGGATAAGCCTGGCCATAGGGAGGTTGAGGGGCCGGTTGGTACGGGGGCTGGCCGCTGTAGGCTGGTTGTTGCTGGTATATTTGAGGGGCATAATTCGGGTGGTAATTCTGTGGAGGCAAAGGAGCGTGCGGCGCGTTTTGCGGAGGATGTTGCTGCCCGTGCTCGGGATGCCATGCCTGTTGCTGAGGCTGGGGGTAGCCGGGTTGGGCAGGGGGGCCGGCGTAAGGTGCAGGGCTCTGAGTTCCGTAGGCGGGCTGCTGGCCATAGCCATAGCCTGGGTGCGGTTGATGCGGTTGGTGCGGCTGGTGTGCTGGGTGTGGTTGATGATAACCGCCGCGATCAGGGCCGCCGCGACCTCTACCGCTGTGACCACCTCGAGGAGGGCCGTACGAGGAATAACCGCCGGGGCCATCGTTCGGGGGTGCGGGCGGAGGAGCCGGGGGAGGGGGTCCGTAATTGTAGGACATGGTTCAATAATCGAGATTGTCCAGCAGCGAGGAATTCAAAACTTGGAGGTGAGAACAAGAACAGGGCGAACTTCCCAAGGACGACTCGGGTACCACCACAAGGCCCAGCAGCCGATGGACGCGTCTTCACTTGAATCCGAAAACCTTCAACGGTGGTGAGGGAGGAGTAGAAAAGGGGATTGTTTCAAAGGTGAACAGTGCGGGTCGCCGGAGTTGACATGCGATTCTGTCGGGATGTGGTGGTTCGAGGTTGAAACTGGGAAGGAAAATGGAGATGGCTTGATGTGGATTTGAATCAGGAAGGACGGTTGGCGACTCAAAACCGTCTGGAAGTTTATTCGCACGGTGGTACTGCCAAGGCGGTGTGGTCAAAAGTGGGTCCTGTCGGCAGAATTCCAGGCCAGGATGAGGCAAGGGTCCTGGAACTCTCAAGATAACCTTGACTGTGGGGGTCAAACGGGTGACGATTTATTTCTATGGCGGTTTATTTCATGAGCCTATCTACAACAAAAGATAAACGAGGGTCGACCAAACTGCAGAATCTGGGCGTGTGCTGTAAATCAAGGCTCCAAAGTGAAGCCTGTGCTAAAACTCTCCGTGATACCAATCACTTCCATTCATTCGCTTTCTTGGTCGATTCGTCCCACTTCCATCATAGAGGAAGCCACTTCCTTGCATGGTATAACGGGAATTCAGAAAGCCAACTGGAATGTTTATTTTAGTCAGTATATCTTTCTGTTCAATCAGTTTGGCATCGGTTTGTTTTGCTCTCGAGCTAACATGATGAATATTGGGACTAGACCAAAATCGCCGACCTGGTGCAGATTGCGCCTGATGATTTCAGGAAGCAAAGTCATATCGCAATCGAAGACAATATCAACTCCAAATATGCCAACAAGGTAAGTCTCGAGCGTTATCCTTTCGACATATGTTTCTCCTAGCTAACTAATTCCTCGTAGGTAGTGCAAAAGATCGGACTCTGCATCTGCCTCTGGGACATTCTATGGACATCAGAAGGTCTCATCGGACATGGCGACGGGTTAGTCAACGTTAACGGTACGGAACCCCCTCAATCTGACGGGATATTTCCTATACTGATGTTGCGTAGTCGAGTTCCGCGTCGTGGTGTTCAGGCCCTACAAGGGAGAGGTCATTGCCGCACGGATTATGGACCAGTCACCAGAGGGGATAAACCGTTGGTCTATCCTATATCCTATTTCGTTCTTTTGTTATTGCTAGTATTAACCACCTCTGCAGTCGGCACAGACTTCTTCGACGACATCTTCATTCCCTGGACGGAGCTGCCCGAAGGCTCAGAATTGTACGAATCCATTCCAACCCTTAGTCACCCGGTCCTCACTAACACTGCCCCCAGCGAACCATCCGATAATCTCTGGATCTGGAAGGAAGATGATCAAGCCATGTACTTTGATGACAACGAAATGGTCCGCTTCCGGGTCATCTCGGAAGAGTGGCATGACCAGGCCCCCTCGAAGCCGGTCGAGGCAGTGGAAGTGCCCGAAGGGGCCGAGGCAGTTGTTGCGCCGCCGATCCACACAAAACCGCCATACACGATCACGGGATCCATGAGTGGCCCGGGGCTCGGCTGCTGCCTGTGGTGGGAGTAATGACTGGTAGGCTGACGGAACGCAACATATGTCGCATCTTACAGGGCGATCTATGTGCTTTGATATATTACACCTTGATACCCGCGAGAAGACGCTGCTCGACACCGTCCAAAACGGAATGGTGCTCGATGACGGCGAGATTCTCCGCCTCGGCGAGAAACTGCTTGTTGGGGTCGACGCCAGGGCCGAACATCTGGCCTGCTCCCTGGGGGCCCATCTGGTTCATCTGCTGCGCCATCTGGTTGGCAGCTAAGGGGGGCGGATTAGCAGGGCGCCCGGATAGACAGAGTAGGATAGCATACCATTTTCGCTACCGAGCAGGAAATTAAACACAGACTGCAACCCAAAAATGCAAAGGAAGTACCAGCTAATGCTTGACATCCACCTCGGGTCCATGTCCCTAGTTGCCACACCAGCTTGGAGCATGCTCTTGAACTTGATGGTGAGCGGGAAGGGCAATTTCACTGGTCTTGTCAGCCACTCCATCCAATCCCAAGCAAAGGCATCCGGGCTACCCACTGATCACATAGCCGCTGAAAAAAGCATTGATCCAGCTCATGATCAACGTATTGGGGATGATCATGGCCATCTGGTTCTTCATCATGCCCATCATGCCCTCCATGGCGCTGGGGTCGCTCATGGGGTTCGGGGGCGGCTGTCCCCGGCCGTCGGGGTTCTTGAGATATGCGCCCGATTCGTAGGCCGTGATCAGGGCGTCGCGTCGGGTGGTGAACGAGGGCTTCGAGAGGACGTGGTAATTACCGCGCACATTGATACCGTGGAGCAATGACCGCTGCTCACGCGTCGTCTTCTGATCTTGCTTCTTCGGGGCCGAGGCCATCAGGACGGTCGCATAGTGGCGGAGGACACCGGTCAGAATCTAGCGCCGGGTGTGTAAGTTACTGCGCATTGTATGCGGAAGATGCGTCAGGTGTACGAAGGGCTGGGGGGCGTGTGTACCATGACAATGGTGATGGGAAAGAGAATCCAGTAGCTATTGTCGGTCCAGTATCAGCAATTGAGCACCCCATATCACCAAGAAAGCAGGACTGACAATAACTGGGGATCCCTATGGATCGTCTGCACCGGGACCTGTGCCATCTCGTCGTTGCCAACTGCTTTGCGCTGGTTGAACTGCTTCTCCTCAAGTAACCTGGCGCTTGGTGTTTCGTCTGCTCCAGAAGCATGCGAGTTGTCGTCGCTTGGATCCGCTGGAACCTCGAGCCAAGCACTCTGGCCAAAAAAAGCCGAACTCAACAGGGGTGCAAGAAAGCAAGAAAAGAGGAAATAATAAGGCAAACCAACGCAGAAGAAACAGGCAAAGAAAGTCGACGAGAACGTATCGAATAGGAAAGACCGAGTCAAGTAAAAAGTAGACTTTGGGCCTCCGGATGACTTTCATTTTGTTTCTGTAGTCGAAGGTTTCGGCGGCACCTAGGTACACTTCGAGTTCGGCCTTTTTTGGCCAGAGGGTGCCAAGCACAGGGGCTGATGGGTCGGGACCCCTGTCGGCCAGCGCAACCCGAACAAGACGTGCAGATCAGGCCAATCGGAGGGAAAGCTGGAGCTCGTCCAACTGCGCAGGTGGCCTTTCCGCAACTGAAGCTCTCTCTAAGAGCCCATGCCCACCGGCACCTTCGACTTCACACAACTCGACCGCCCACAATAAGTCGACAGGTAGCCATAATCACTTCTAGATTTCGCATCCACCAGCAACAATGGCAACTTCCCAAGAGAGAATCACCGTCTACAATGTAGCAGGTAAGCCTCCCTCCCATCTCTGACATCCCACATCCCATTCATTCACCTACCTCCTCTACATCCACCCAACTCCTCCCTCCCCCTAGCTCCCCTTCCCTTTCCACCCCAAACAAACATACCCGATACCCCCCTTATCAACACCCACCAAACCCCCCCAACTAACCAACCCTCCCCCCAAAACCAGACCTCAAAAACACCACCGACGACGCCCTCCCCAACTACCTCAACAGCCTAGGCTTCGAGCAATCCCACCACCTGACGGACGTGCGCCTAGCCCTGGGCTTCTCGGCCTTCGCGCTCGCAGCGGCCTGTTTCGGGTGGGACTACCACTTCGGGTTCGAGGCGACCAAGCACCTGACGGGCGTCGCCGTCGCGATCTACACGCTGCTCAACGGGGCGCTGACGCTGTGGATCGCGCGCGCGGAGCGCGGCACCGTCTACGTGGGCCGCAGCCGGGCCACGGGCGAAACGCTGCGGATTGCGACGCGCGTGGAGAAGAATGTGCCCGAGTATAGGGTGCGTGTGGAGGTGACGAGGAAGGATGGGGGGAGGGAGGAGTTGGAGTTTGCGCGCGCGTTTAGTGAGTGGTTTGATGCGGCGGGGCATTTTGTGGCCGCGCCGTTTCAGGTCGTGTTGGCGGGGAGTGTGCCACTGATTGGGAGGGCGGATCCGAAGAGGGCGGCGATGGCGGCCGCGGCGGGGAAGGGGGCGGCGGGTGGTGGTGGTGATGCTGCGGCCGCGGCGTATACGCCTGAGATGTTGGATGCGCTGGCCAAGGCGAATGTGAGTGTGGTTGGGTCTGCTGCGGAGGAGGCGACTGGGTCGGAGGCGGCGGCGGGGAAGAAGGGGGGGAAGAGGAGAAAGGCGTGAGGTGGGATGGGCAGAGGAGGGAGTTGGGGTGGGAGTTGTGAAGGATGGCGCTGGTTGCGGATATATGGGTTGGTTAATAAAAATGGACTTGATCGGAATCGAAATACAGGTTGCATTTACCACGGCCAGACATTCGGGACCACTCGGTTTAAGTGGACAGACCCTAGAGTCCAACGCTAGATGTTATGGTTCCTAGCGCCAGCAGATACGATTCTAGGTCTCGCTCTATCTCTGTAGGCCCAACCCTGCAAGTTCTCTCCCACTCTACTAAATACCCCGACCCATCTACAACCCAACCTTAGCCCAGCTCCCCCTCGCGGCCCTCGCAACCTCCCGCACCCTCCTCACCGAATCCCCACACGCCACCGCCAAAATCCGCTGCGTCGGCGGCGCATAAGCCCTAACATGGCGCTCCTCAAACCGGCCCGGAATCCCCCCCAGCACCTGCAGCGCGAGGCGACGACACAGCGTGCGCACGGCACCCCGCTTCTGCTGCTGCTGCGAAGCGCACTCCTGGTAGACGCCCGTGGCGCCGCCGATGACAGCCTTCAAGTGACCCGTCAGCGCGTCGGGCTCGCTCGCCAGTACCTCGACCAACACCTCGAGCGCGGCCACCGTCTGCGACCAGGCCGTCTCGTCCGCGAGCCCCGCGCGCTGGGTGAGCGCCGTGACGAGCAGCCGGATCAGCGGCGCCAGGTCGTCTTGGTAGACGGTGAAGGGGCAGTTGGCGACGATGGAAAGCACGGCCACGCGGTAGCGGGTTGCCGTGAGGGGGTCGCTGTCTGGTGAGCCGGGTTGGGCGGGCTGGAGGAGGGGTTTGGCGAGGTGGGCGTAGGTCCACTGTTTGTGGAAGCGCCGGATGATGGCGTGGTTTTCGGTGGTGAGGAGAGGGTTCTGCTTGACGATGAGGCCGAGGGAGGCGGCGAGGATCTCGCCGTTGGGGGTGGGGGTGGAGGCTGCCTGGTGGAGGGCCGGGATGAGGGTGAGGACGTGAGGGTCCTGGCGGGCCGCGGCACCGGCGATGACGCTTAGGGCGGTTGTGCTGTGGGCGCGGAACGCGGCGGGGTCGGCCGGGGATGGATTGGCGGTTTCCTTCTTCAACCAGTCGCCCCAGAAGTCGAGCACCCGCTTCAGGACCTCCAACTCCTGTACGGGGGTGGAGGGTCCGGGCTTGAACTTGTTGGCAAGTATCGCGCCGATGGCTGCCCGGATGTCGCTTTCGCGAGATGTGTTGAAGCTGGGCGTGCCACTTGTGAACCGTTCTGCGAATCCGCCCGGGTTATACTGCAAGTGTCCATTAGTTCGGCTCCCCAGTTGTGAATGGATACGACCTACTAATCCTGCCATCGCCCCTGGCCGCAGTCCCTGGAGAATACCCAGCGTTAATAGCCCCCCTAGAAGGTCTGATCGTGTCTCGAGGAGCAGCTCTGTTGTGTCGCGGAAAAAGTTGAAAGCCTGGTAGGCCAGGTTGCAAGACACTTGCAGCTTCTCGTCCAGACTGCTCACCACGAGCGCGGCCATCTGGGAGAGCTGGACAAGTGCCGTCTCGTCCCATGGCCCACGCGCTCCAGCAGATGCGGAACGGTATAGAAACCTCACAACGAAGAGGCCGAGCTTCAGAAATTGGCGATACACTTCAGAGCTATCTTCCTTTAATGGGGTCAGTGCCTCATTCGGCGCACCGATGTCGCGGTGTTTTTGCAACAACCAGTCTTCGGGCAGCCCCTTGAACTCATTCACCCAATTTTTGTTATCGGGTGAGTCTGAAGTGAGAGCGTTCTTTCCGTATTTTGCGTCACAGGCGTCCCGGAACCAGATGACCGAGGCATGGAGCGAGGAAATTACAAGGGAATTCGCAGACGCGCCGTCATCTGCGCGAGTAAATTCGGGGTTGGGCGAAAGTGGGAAAATTTCCAAGAGGCTCGCTGTCAGTGTGACGAAATGTTGAAGCGAAGAGAACTGCGTTTGGGTATCGGTTGTGATGCTTGACGGGACTTCGGAACACCCAATGAAGGTGAAACGAGACAAGAGATCCTTCAGGGCATCAAGCGAATATTGCGAAGGTTTAGCCCAGTCGCGCGACTTGATCTCTGCCTTGATCCTGCTCGCAAGCTCTCGGTACCCCTCTTCGTAGTTCATCATGACCGTGCGTAGACCCAAAACCGCTTCGTCTTCCACGGCGGTGTCCTCGGCTCCGTTGTCATTCGAACTTAGAGTCAACCCTTTCGTAATGGTGGAGGTCAGGAGTGAGCAGATCTCGGAGCAGACCGATCCGGAGCACAAGAGACCAGGGGTCCCGTCGGGTTGTAGGACCTGCTGGCTGACGAGCAAGGCAAGGCCCTGTATAACCTGCTTGAGAACATCCTTCTCCTCGGAAACAGGCTCCTTGATTTTGTCGGTCCATACCGGGAGGTAAACATCGTGGAATAACGTGTCCAGGTGAGTACGGGACTCGGCCTTCAAACTCTCCTCATCTTCCGAATGTGCTTGCTGCCTGTCCCTAAACAGTTCCATCCGAGTCTTGAGAAGAGAGTTTAAGAGCAAGAGAAGGTCCCGTGTGTGGGAGGGTGACTTGGGCTGGCGGAGATTTTGCCGGATAGTGTCAATGAAGCCGGCGTTGTAGAGCACGTATGCCCTGATATTAGCGCTTATGACTGTCATCAAGAGCAACCCGGCCTGTTTCGTATAGGTAGGATTTGCGAGGTCGTCGCGGCAGTCCCTTGAAACGAGATCGACGTAGCTCTTGAGGAGCGACACATCGAGCTTGTAGGTTTTCGTACCGTCGAGCTTTCGAGCGATGGTCCGGAGCACGTCTAGAGTTGCATCTATGGTCTCCTTCACCTCGCCGTTCCGGACCTCGTACTTGAGCGAGTTCCAGATCTTTTCGACATGTGGAACGACGGTTGCTTGTGGGTTTTCGTACTGCTCAATGCACGCTTGGATAGTCTTCAATATGTCCAACTGGTCGAAGTTAGCGCCAAAGCCGAACGCACCGCTAGGCAGGAGTTCGGTCAACTAACCTTGACAGCCACCGTAACAGCATCTCCCTGATCTAGCTTCTGAATGAGGAACGGAAAAGCGTGGTCCGCGACGCGCTGGTGGGCCGAGAAACATCTTCTTACAACCTCCTTGAGATCTTCTGCGGTAATGCCTATTGGAGTAGCTGAGCTTCGTAGGGAAATGGGGAAGTAAGCAGAGAAGACCTTGAAGAGTTCCTCGGTTACTTCAGCTGAAGGGTCATAATCCTTGACGAGTAGAGCGAGGATCTTAAACCAGACCATGAGATTCCGTGGGTCTCTCTCGCTCTGGCACACTTGGAGAAGGTCGACAGCGAAGCCGCAGGAGGACCCGTATTTGTGCTTTAACTCGCTGCTGACGGCCGGGTCTTGGACCAAGCCGAGGAAGAGCTCATAGATTTCTAGCCTGGTGACGGCAATCTGTAACCGGAAGTCTTCCTTTATTTTGCAGACATCCTCCAGGATCTTGACGCCCATGTTGGGCTTGAAGTTCTTCATCGAGTACAACTGCCGCAAGGCCTTGGCGGACGCTGTGATACCCGCTTTGTGGTCGTAGGAGAACATGGCGCCGAAGAAGCCAATGAGGCGGAGCACTGCAGCGATGTGAGTGAGGTTTTGTTTAACGAGAGAAAAGGTTTCAAACCTTGGTCAGACCTTAACACGCTCTTATCGAGTACCTCTAATGTTCCTGCAAGGAAGCCGAGAGCTGGGTCCCGAGAATAAGTGTTAGTTTCTTGCTGGCCCCTGAACAAAAAAGACTGAATTTACCCTTGGCCCTAGCAATGATATCGCCGCTGCCCCCTTCGTCCTCATCCTCCATCTTATCATCATCGGCATTTGCTGGGGTCATCCATTGCTGCACGGAAGCGGCCCAGTTTCCTACCGCTGTACTGCTTGCACGAGAGTTCTCGATTTCTGGAGCGGCAAATCAGTAAGAGGTACACAAATATATTGGAGGGTGTATGAAAGCTCCCTCACTCACCCTTTGCTGCTTTCTTTGTGATTTCCAGTTGTGCAGGCTCATCATCCGAGAGCACATACTCCAATGCCCACTGCTTGAACTGGGCCATGGTCAAGACTCAAATGCGCCCGAGGACAATTTGAACATCAATAATATTGATGAAAGACTCCCAAAGTATCTAGTTTTCCAAGAGTTTCTCGTGAAAAATGACGCCACTCTGCACAGTCAGTTCAAGAGCGAGCGAGCGAGCAGTTGCCTAATGGTGCAAGTGGTGGCTTGTGTTTCCAGCCACAAACCAAGTTTGATGTTGCTCTCCCTTTAAGTAAAGATTTGTAAGAGGATGCACCGCAAATACCTAATCGATACTGGGTTTGAGCTGTTTGGGATATCGCTCAAGGTACTGTAGCTTGTCCAGCTTAGGTAGCATAGTTCACCTAGCCCTTCGGTCTCTGGGTGGCTTGCGCTTGCTGCCGCCGTTATCGCCCTGGTGCCCCACGCTGCCCCGCGGCAGTAAATCTGAGAAGATCTGAAAGGGCGAGGCGGTGAATCTTGGTCCCGATGCTTCCTGGCACGATAGTTGACGCTAAACTACAACTGGTAAGAGGGGCAATGATGTGGGCCTCTATCCCGTCCTGAAATTTTTGCTGGAGACCAAGGTGTGACAGGGGTCGGCAGTTAGAGGGTGTGAGCAAGGACCGATCGGAGACGAAGTCGAAACTCTTTGGTGAGGTGCTTCACAATTTCAATTTCACTGATCTGTTTAGCAAACCAAAATATCTCCTTGGTACCATCTTTTGTATATCAGTGAGCTAATTGTTAGGTCCTCCCTGCTGTCTTGTCAGTGGATATCGCGGGGTAAGCTGTTTCTCGCTGCTTCCCTCCCCGGGTCTACAAGCACTGTTTGCGTTGTTGAGTCACCCACACTTTGACCTTCAATTTCCATGTTGACTTACAAGATTCAATTGCTTTCATCTCACCAATCTTGTACAACCACGTGCCTCAACTTCAATTCTGTCCGCTCCAAAACAAGATGGCGAACTTACAGGGAATATTACCCCGCCAAGAGCTCCTGCTAATGCCATTATCATCATTACCAGGCATCCGGTGCCCAAGTTGATTCACCAAACCACAACCCAAATATCCAAAAACACTCAGCAACACAAAAGCCGTGTATCATGGCTTCACAAGAAGTTCCCAAGACATGCAGGGTCATCCTCGCCGACACAATAGCCAAAAAGCTACTGGCTGAGGTCAAGGAAACTCTGGCTAGCTTCCAGGGCACTGCTGCCAGCAAGCCCACCTTGGCAGCTTTCCTAGCCAACGACGACCCCTCCGCCCAGCAGTACGCCGACTGGTCAAAGAAGACATGCGAGGAAAAGTGAGCAAAGTTCTCCATATCCAATGTCAACAACAACCTACTTGAGTCTAACATGGTCTAGCGGTTTTAACTTCGACCTCCGCAAGGTCGATAAGGAAGCCCTTGAAGAGGCGGTGGTAGCCGCCAACAATGACGATGCTGTCGACGGTATGCTGGTATACTACCCCATCTGGCGCAGCAACCAGCAGCAAGACCGCTATATTCAGGAGACGGTCGCCCTGTCCAAGGACGTCGAGGGCTTGTGCCACACCCACCTCTTCAACATGTACCACAACACGCGCTTCCTCGACCCGCCCACCAACCAGAAGAAGTCGATCCTACCGTGCACCCCGTTGGCCATCGTGAAGACCCTCGAGCACCTGCAGATCTACAACCCAATCCTAGCCTACGGCAACCGCCTCTTCGGCAAGACCGTCACCGTCATCAACCGCAGCGAGGTCAACGGCCGCCCCCTGGCCGCCCTGCTGGCCAACGACGGCGCCACCGTCTACAGCGTCGACATCACCGGCGTGCAGGTCTTCACTCGCGGCAGCGGCATCCGCGCGCCGCGCCACCAGGTCCACGACAAGGAGGGATGGACCCTCGAGAACGTGCTGCCCCTGAGCGACGTCGTTATTTCCGGCGTGCCGAGCGAGGCCTTCAAGGTGCCCACCGAGCTGATCCGCGACGGCGCCGTGTGCATCAACTTCTCGAGCTACCGCAACTTTGACGGTCCGGCCGTCAAGGAGAAGGCGAGCATCTACGTGCCAAGCACCGGCAAGGTGACCATTGCCGTTCTGCTGCGGAATCTTATGGTATGTCCAAGGAACTATGTTGGATCTTCTTGGTGTGCTAATCAATTTAATAGCGCCTGGTCGCCAACCGGCACGAAGCTGGGGCCCCGTCTGACGTCCCCGAGTAAACCCGGGGCGAGAACTTTAGGGATAGTTGATTGCTTGGTCTGCGTTGCATCTTGATTCCATGCTCTTTACATGCATGGCAAGCTAGAGGACTAAAATAGGGCAGAAGGGGCCAATAAATAGACACCCAAAACTACAGAGAAACAAGGACGAACAATTGTGTGTGAAGATATTCTATTTTGCCGTTGCGTAGAATACGGATACACAGATACCTGGTCCCAAGCGCCACTACCTAAGCAAAGTTGTCTTGAAATAATATATATAGCGAAGAAGAACCCAGGGTATCGAGCCAATTCTCCTGAACCGAGAAGAAGCAAAGCAAAGAAGCGCTGCAACGGGTCCGCCACGCCAAACGAAGCATGTCCCGATTCCAGGTTAACCGCTCGCGCAAGAAATCCCCCCAAAAAGCATCTCCTGCTCCCGCACCAGCCCCTGAGCGGAACTCCTCCTCATATCCAACCCAGGCAGCATAAAAAAATTGTCCCTAAGCCCAACACTCCGTTCCCTCTAATCCTCCACCCTCCCAAAAAATCAACTACTAATCATTACCAATTACCTCCTCATATCATCATCGTCACAACAACACCCCTCGCAATGCCCTACCAGAACCCCCTCCCGCCTTCAGCTCCAAACCCAACCCACCACAGATAACGCCACAGCCAGGATAACAAAAGCCAAACAAAAAAAAAGGTAAGAGCAAAAAAAAACAAGGGGAAAAATATCAACCCAACTTCAAACCTGACTAATATCCCCCCCTTCCCCCAACCCCAACCCCTCCAACGCCCTCCTCGCCGCATCCAGCCGCCGCCGATACATGCGACTCTCCGCGCTAGCCCGCCCATTCTCAGTCAGCCCCAGCACGCAACGCCCAAGGTTCGCCACGATGCGCTCGACCAGGTACTTGTCCTCGCGCAGCAGCGCCTCGAGCGGGTGCGGCGCGCCATCGCCACCACTGCCGTTGGCGATGCTGTCGATGGTGTCGTTTGCGGCGGCGGCTTGGCCCTCCATCGTCACGTGGCGGTCTGACGTGGGTGATTGCGGGGGTTGCGCGTGCTGACCCATCTCGAGCATCAGCCGGCTGGCGAGGGTGTTTAGGTCGGCTTCGCCGCCGCCGGAGACGTCGGGGGAGAGGGAGCGGTTGGGCGGTGTGAGCACGCCGGCGCTGCTCGCCTTGCGCACGACCGGTGGTGGGCCATTTTTGGATGATGGTCGGGACGGGGGTTTGTTGACGAGCGGGAAGCTGCGGTTCGTGCCGACCGAGTCGAATGAGGAGGTGGAGGGGCGGTGGAGGGAGGGGTGCATGGCCGTGGTCGACATGGGCCGGTGGATGACGGACGCGCGGCGTTCGGTCCTGGGTTGGGCTGGGGAGCCTGCGGAGGAGGACTCCTCGGCGATGGGCGAGATGGAGCCGTCGCTGTCGCGGGTTGTGGGGCCTGAGGTCGGGGGGTGGAGGGTGCCCGGGTTGAAGGAGAGGCGTTTGGCTGTGGCGCTGCTGCCGGAGCGGTACCGGTGGCTTTGGGAGGAGGCGGCGCGGGAGAGGGATTCGAACGGGTTGTGGGCTTCGTCTGGGCTGACGGGGGATTTGAGGGACCGGGCTTCTTGGGCCGTGGCAAACGTGTCGATGGTGGAAATCGAGTTGCTGCTGTTCCGTCTGCCGATGATCGGCTGGTGCTCGTCGCTGCTTGTCGCGGTTGGCCCCCTGGTCGTCTCTACAGAGTCGTCCGAGGTGAAACTATCTCTGCTGGCCCGCCTTGCCATACTCATCGTGCCCATGGCGCTATGTAAGAAAAAGTGCTCGTAATCGAATGCGTCCTCGCGGTCTTCGTGCGAGATTTGGTGCTGCACCGTATCGTGGTAGAGGGACTCCCCACTCTCGCTCATGGCGTCGGCGTCGGCGGCATCGTGGAAGGCCTCGTCCGTATCGCCATTTTCCGTATGCATGTCGGAAACATCGTCTTCAATATCGCCTTCAACATCGTCGAGCCCGGCAATCGGTGTAAGAGAACGTGGTTCGAGGTCGATCGGGTTCTCAATGTGGATCCCCTCTTCTGCGTCGGCATAATCCGTCTCTTCTCCATCAAGGTGCCCATTATCCAGTTGTTGAGCCACCTCCTTATAATCACCATTCACGCTTAACCCTTCGTCGTTCCATGGGGTTTGGTCGGGGAAGTCGTTGGCGACGATCCCCGATGCCCTATTTGAAGGTTCCGCATACCAATGGTCGATTTGCGAATGCGTGAAAGGACTGGGCGTCCGGAGGCTCTGCAGACTTTGCCTCTTCATGTTATCAACCCTCGCTTGCTCCCGCAAGTTTGAAATTTTGCCCTTCAGGTCTCTCATCTGGTCCTTGATGTCGCGCATTTGGACGGCAGAAGATGACCTCTGGGGGTTCCTTGCCCCGCTGTCACTGTGGAAAGACCCAAACGTGGGGCTTCCAAACGTAGGGCTCAGGAACGCCTCCAACCTTGCATTATGGCTTGCGCTGTCGGCTTCTCCAAGCCGCGCGACCTCGTCCTCGGTGAGCGGCTTGAGCCCCACTTCCCTCACAGAGTTGGCTTTGTGAATAGTACGATGGGATTCGCCATCCACGCCCCCACGGATATGATCGGCGCTTTTTGATGCCGTCAGCGGCTGCCGGTAGCCCCCGGCGGCTCCAAGAGCGCTTTGCGATCGAGGTACGTTCACCCGATACGGCAACCCATTCCGCATAAGGAGTTCGCTCGACATGCGATTGTGCCCGGTAGTGTGGTCGGGTGTCGATGGGTCAGGTTCCATGCCGTTCGTCGCGTCTTGTTCCACCCTGTTTTCCACCTCCTGCTCCATCCTCTGTTCAATGTGGTACGTTGCCGTCGCCGCTCGCTGGAAAGGCGGGGAAGGTGTCGAACCATCGGAGCCATACGGGGAGTGTAACGAGCTCCGTGCGCGAGTCAGGTTGCCTTCCATGGTCTAATCGCCGTCAGTAAACTAAAGAGACTCGGATTGACCATCCAAACCTACCGTCAGCCGTCTCTTCGCGTTGGCCAGGATCTCCTCCGCCCGGCGGCTCAGCGAGGTCGTCGAGTAAGTAGACAAGCGATCAAGATTCTCCGCCTTCGAAACTCCCAGTCTTGCCGGCTCAACGGCCGCCGTGCCCTCCACATACGACGAGGCCATGCTCTCTTCGTCATCCCCTTGAAATACGCTGTCCCCCACACTAACGGAATCGTCGAAGTCGGCGAAAGCGGCGGCGTGATCTCCGTTTGTGATTGTGCTGGTGCTATCCATGCTCGAGTGGCGTTCATGCTTGGCCTTCAAGTTCTGCTTTGACTTCTTCTTGATCGTACCCGCCGCGTGGATGGTTGGGGAGGACTGGAGTGCTGGCTCGCCTCCGCTTCCGCCTACGTGCTTGGGAGACGCGGTCCGCCGTAAGCCAAGCTTCGCCCGCGCTGGCGAGGGTTTTCCCACCGTGCTCTCGACTTCGGTGACCTCCCCAATATCTGACAGCATAGTTCCGTTCCCGTATATGATGGGTGTTGTGGGTGTGACGGGGCCCGAGGGGCCGTACGGGTGCGGGCCTGCCAGACCCGTTGCGACGAACATATGGTGCATATCGGGCGGGGAGGTGGTGCTGTGTGTGTTCTTCCACATCATGAGCGAGGCACGCTCGGCGCTCCCAAGATCCGGGTCGGGGGAGTCGCTGCGGTCGTAGTCTGGCAAGATCATATCGGGGTTCGTGAGGGTCGGTGAAGCAGGGAGCGGCGGGCCTGGCTGCTGGTGCCCATTATGGTAGTGGGCATTGGCGGTCTCCATGGCTGTCATAACGAGTGTGCTTGCGAGTAGGCTTCGTGTGTTTGGTCTATTGGCGGGAGCGGGGGAGCAGGAAGCGGAGAGACGCCGGGCCCGATCGCCCAAGGTGGCGCCTATTCCTGCGAGAGAGCGAGTAAGCGGGTGCTTCTGGTGGCTGGCAAAATAGAAATGCTCGTTCCCGGCGACGAGGTGTAATGCGCCTGCGGTGCAACGAAAGACCCGAATGGGAGGAAGCGAGGGCGCGCCGTCTGGGCTGCAATTAACCGTGGGGTCGGAACCCAAGTCGAATTCCCAAGTCCAAGCGGGTAAAAATCACAATACAAAATCGAGTTTTGTCTGTGTGGTTGCGTTACGTTGCGTCTCGAGGCAACCTGGTGCATGGAACCTGGTGAGTGACAAAGTTCGGTCGTCGGTTGGTTGATCGCAACTACCTAGGTTGGGTCGAGTGTTGCACTGAGCGAGAGACAGCAAAAGAAAAACAAATGAACGAGTGGACGAATTACGATGGGTGAGATTGCTAGCAGAGAAAATTAGACTCGGCACATGCATGCAGTATGAATTACAGATTACAGTCGGCACGGCAGGATCGCGTCAAACGCGATGCAGAAAATATTGGAAATTGCCGGGCCTTGCACCAAACGGGCACCCAAGAGAACTGGGGTTGGCGCACCCAACGGTGGAAGGTGGGGTTCTGGACGGGAAAACGACCCACGACTTTGTGCAAGTGATTTCCCTCAACGCAGATCGATCGGGCCCCTGATGTGGCTCAGAACCGCCGGGCTCGCCGTTTTTCGGAGCCATTACTTTCGCATGTACCCAAGGTATGGACGAATAGTGTATAGTAGGTTACAGATGCATACATGGTAGTGACTTTCCCCCCAGATTGTCGAGTTTCCCCAAATGGCTCGAGCTTGCATGAGACAATCGGGACAAACGGATTGCTTAACTCGTGTAATGTTTCCACCAGCAAACAAGCCATTGTTTTTGGTCTGATGTTTGAGACGAACGTTGCTAAGTGGGTTCGGGCAGCCCGGTTCGGCGGGGACCCCGGTCTCTTGTGCCCTTGTCCAGCGGTAACGAGGTGAGCAAGTGTGGGTCGGTCAATTTGGCGCTGGTGAGGAAGCAGTCGAGGAGGAAGTATATGTGTAAATGTGCAGTGTTAAAAGATGAGGAGCTTTCCTTGATCTTTTTCAAGGAGACAGGCTTCTTCTGGGAAATTTATAATGTCCAAAAAGGGTTTGCCCTGCCGGGATCAGCGCCTGCCTGGTATTTTTACTCTCACAATGCAAAGGCGCCGAATCGCTCCTGGCGATGATCCAATGCGACCGTGACGTGCTGGGATCCGAATAACACCGCTCCGATTTCTCGGTTCCCGGTCGGGATTCTATCAGCTTCTGAGGTACATGATAAGCCAATCGGGCTTCTCCCAAACCACGTCTCCACGTGTCCTTGGACCACCGGAAAGTGTCAAGAGTCAAACCACACCGCCGGCAACAAAAAACAAGAGGGGTTGATCGCAAGTTTGGTCTTCGATTATGTTGGTGAAGGCACGCTGCTATCTCACGATCCCATGGCCCAGTCCACCCCTTCCCACCCTACCAACGCAGGATCCCAAGATCTGGGCTCCCAACACCAACACCAACACTAACTACTTGGTACCCCGAGGCCTCCGTCGCTTTCCTGCCAAGCCAAAAAGATCTGATTCGACGTCTAATAATTCAGGAAAAGAAAAGATGTTGAAGTTCTTTTGTTTTCCCCAAAACGCCGTGTCTTGTGCCCTTGTATGCCGTTCCCCATGGGGTATCGCAATGTCATAAACTTGGCGCCTTCTTGGCTCATGCAATGTCTTTGTTGAAAGACGCCGACCTCCTGTGAACCGTCCCCGCTGTGACCTGACGAAAAATTTTGGTCTTCGCTGAAAAAAGAACTCCGAGGCGTACATCGCCCGACACCACGCCGCAAGCGTTTTACCCTGCAACCCAGAAAGACCCAAACCGAACATGAAAATGACAAGGGATATAAGTCTATCCGCCCACCCAGGTTTGTTGAGAACCGTACGCCAGTAATGCTTATCCATTCATATGCCATGATTAAAAAGATGAAGAAAGGGAAATCGTCCGGGGACGAGCGGGATCGTATCAGCAGAGAGAAGTTGAATCTTCTGCGACATGGTCTCCCACTTAGAACTTGAGGGCCTTGGGCTTCTCCCAGCTGAAGTTCTGGTTGGTGCCGAAGTGGCCGTTCTTGGCCGTCTGGAGGTAGATGGGCTTGGCCAGATCCAGCTCCTTGACGATGACACCGGGGCGCAGGTCGAAGTTGTCGCGGATGATCTTGACGAGTTCGTCCGAGGTCTTCTCCGAGGTGCCGTAGGTGTCGACGTAGATGGAGAGGGGCTCAGCAACGCCGATGGCGTACGAGAGCTGGACGAGGGCGCGGCGAGCGAGGCCGGCGGCGACGAGGGACTTGGCGATCCAGCGGCCGACGTAGGCAGCCGAGCGGTCGACCTTGGAGAAGTCCTTGCCGGAGAAGGCACCACCACCGTGAGCGCCCCAGCCACCGTAGGTGTCGACGATGATCTTGCGGCCGGTCAGACCGGCATCACCCTGAGGGCCACCGATGATGAAGAGGCCGGAGGGTTGGATCTTCTCGCTGTTAGTACACGCGCCATTCCAGCCCAAGCTCAATCGATACTTACGTGGTAGATGGTGCGGTCATCCAGGTACTTAGCCGGGATGGTGGTCTTGATGATCTTCTCGAGGATCTCCTTGCGCAGCTTCTCGGTGGTAATGTCCTCGGAGTGCTGGGCAGAAACGACGACGGTGTCCACACGGAGGGGCACGACAGCACCGTTGTCGTGCTTGTACTCGATGGTGACTTGGGTCTTGGTGTCGGGGCGCAGCCAAGGCAGGGTGCCGTCGCGGCGCGCAGCCGACATGGCAGCGTTGAGCTTGTGGGCGAAGAGGAGAGTCAGGGGGAAGAGCTCAGGGGTCTCGTCGGTGGCATAGCCGAACATGATGCCCTGGTCACCGGCACCGAGGTTCTCGAGGCGGTCCTCGAGATGCAGACCCTGCGCAATGTCTGGGGACTGCTCCTCGATGGCGACGAGCAGGTTGAGCGTCTTGTAATCGAAGCCCTTGGAGGAGTCATCGTAGCCGATGCCCTTGACGGCATCGCGGACGACCCTCTGGTAGTCGAGCTTGGCCTTGGTGGTGATCTCGCCGAAGACCATGATCATGCCGGTCTTGGTGGCCGTCTCGCAGGCAACCTTGGAGAGAGGGTCCTCCGCCAAGCACGCATCGAGGATGGCATCTGAGACCTGATCGGCGATCTTGTCGGGGTGGCCCTCACCGACAGACTCGGACTGTCAAGGGCGGTCAGCGCCAGTCCTGTGCAAATCTAGCAACAATATGACTCACAGTGAAGAGGAAGGTTCCCTCGTTGTAGTGCTTCCCGGACCCATTGGTCCCGTTGGTGCCGTTGGTAACCATTGTGATTTATGAGATTGGGGAGGGCTCTATGGGAAGAGGGTTAGCGATGGTCGGTAAAAAAATATGCCGGTGGCGTAGCTGGAGTTGGAAAAAGAGCGACGGATCCGCGAGGTCCCCTCAAAGAAAGAGAACAGAGCAAGATCCCGGTGGGATACCAGGGACACCTCATCCGAACACCTCATTCGAATTCAGGCATTGTCTTTTGAAACCATCCTCCAAGACCAACAACTCCTCGGCGAATCGCGGGATATTGATGGCATCGGATGGAAGGCAAAAGAGCGGGGAAAAGAAGGGTGCCCGATCCGGGGTTCCGGCCTCCGAAGTAAGAAAGCATCTGGGGGACATGATTCACGAACCTTTTGCAAAAAAAGACAGAAACAAAAAACCAAGCAGGCCAAATAAAGCGGAACGGGGGGGAGACGGTGTGTGTGTTTGAGCTTGGAAGAAGATGGGGAAGCAGAGGACTCCTGGGGGGGAAGAGGTGTATTTGAGGAATTTTGGCAAGGCCCCTAGACGCAAGTGGCCGAGCTTCGGCCATTTTTCACCGCAAAGGCGCAAAGGCGGCACAGCGGGGTACTTGGAACACCAAAGAACCCCGCCAGAGGTACAAAATAATACGGCGGTACATTTAGGTCCTTCTCTGGGCTTGCGGCGGTGAAACAACAAAACAGCGGCTTGCTGCGAGATCTTGCTTGTGGAACCGAAAGCAGTGTCGGTTGCAATGGTTCTCCAGATGGCTGTGTCCGTAAGGAGTTAATCCCGAGCGAGATCGGGCCGGTGTTTCTGAGGCTGCTTTGGCCTGCCACTATTGGGTCTCAATCGGGGATCCTTTTCTATTTTCTGTAGCAGAAACCTTTTCTCAGTTGCCGTGCTGGAATTGAGCCCCTGGTCCCAAGTACTTCGGGGTTTGTCCCTTTTCGTCAGATTGCGCCATTGCTGCCCCTCACCGCAACCAGCCATCGAGGTCCCCACTGAGGGGGCAGAATCGTGGAAACACGGAAAGCGCACAACACGGCACTCACCACAACTGCTGCTAACAAACGGGAATGAGTTAGGGTGGGCCAAAACTGACGGCTTCTGCACCTCTTGGGGCCAACCTGGAGCCGCAACCAATTCACGTTGCAGGAGAAGTAAATTGAGCAACCTTGGCACTGGAGGATCTCGGGGGTTACTGCGTCAATGCAGCAGAGAGATGAGGTTTGGCCCCGCCTTCCGTGGGCCAGCGTGGTTGCGCGGTTATCTGCATACAAAGTATCCGTAACTTCCGCGTGTTTAACTCTGCTTTGGGCCATGCGTCGCTCATCCTGTGATACTCAAAAGGAACAACTGCCAACAATTGTCAATTGGGTGTCAACCCAGGGCTGATTGCAGAATTGGTCCTCTTGACGCTCGTTCGGCTAGGGGACCCGAAGCTCGCCTCGCGGGACCGCTGTAGAAGAAACTCCGGTCCGAAGAGTTTCGTGAAGCGCCAGAATAACGCCTGATAGCGAAGGATTGAACTAGTCTGGGCTTAACTACACCTCTCATGGGGCTGACAGGGCGCTACTACACTAGCACGACATTAATGAATTTTCTCTCCTTCTTTTCTTACCCGAAGGGAGTCACCAAGCCTGACCATCCCATATGCCGATCACAAGAGCCAAATCGCCTGCGTAGCTTCGGCTTTTTGACCACCCCTGCACCCAACGCTAAAGCAACCCGTTGTACTTCGTACAGATGAGCGACACCAAGCGGTAATGTTTCAAGTGATGCCAAAGGTATCTACAACGAGTCGTGTTGTCATCGATATTCAAGCCGCGGTTTTATTTATCCCATCTAGCGAACATGGCTGGGTCTCAGGTATCGATTACCTTCCAGGCTCGACGTCCAGTTTTAACATCACATATAGGTAATTCACCAAGAACAAAGTCAGAAGTCCAGATACCAGCGGTTCGTAGAACGCCAGGAAACAATCATTTAATTTCCCTCCACCGAGACTACCTAGTCGAACCAGACCTTTCTCCCCTTCCCGACAATTTCCCCGTTTCTTCATTCCCATCCTGCATTTTCCTCCTCTTATTTGCCAGGGGGTATCAACAAAGGTTCGTCATCATGACCAACCTACCGACCATAACCTTCCCATCCTAGACCGAGACCAAGACTATCTATCTACCTAGGTAAACTAATGAACTAGCTAAAAGCTGTGATTAACGGGGTTTTGTTTCCAAAAGGAGTGGAGAGAAGCGAAACGAAACAGGTTGATGAAGGAGTGCAAGAACTGGAATGACAAGTGATGAAGAAAAAAGAGCAAGCTGAAACAAGAAATCGCAACATGAGGAAAAGGGTGAAGGAAAACGGGGATGGGGAGGAAAAAAAGATATACGAGAAATAAACACGAATCAAACTGTTTGTGAAAATGGAATTAAACTCCCCCGACTGCAACACCGAAGCAGAAGGAGGAATGAGGAATGAAGCACGGGGAAAGAAACGAGACAGCGAGAAAAGAGAGAAAAAAAAGTTCATCCTGTCACACCCATCCGGTAATACCGGCCCAGTCTATCTTGATATGATATGAAAAAGTGACATCCCCGAGTCGAAGCCCCGAATCATCATCCTCGTCTGAAAAAGGGAGAAGATGGTTGGTATCCGGTCATAACGGCATTATAGTTTTTTTTGTGCCTTTATCCGCCCCCCGTTCAATTTGATGTTGATCTTTGATCTTGATAAAAAAGCCAAGTAGAGATAAAGTGAAGAGACCAGTCTTGTGTGATACGAAGCGAAAGTTTGGATCAAATCATATTCGGGAACCCGTCCACGCCGGGGATGGGCCCGACGGGGCTCATGATGGACGAGCGCGGCGGAGGCATTGTGGCCACTTGGGTGTGCAGTTGCGGCGGCATGGCGCGGTTCCGGGGCATGGGCGGAGGCTGGAGTTGAATGTGCGGTTGCTGCTGCAGTTGCTGCGACGGTAGAGGAGGCGGTGGCTGTTGGTTTTGGTTCTGCTGTCCTTGGGACGGCGGTCGCTGCTGGGCTGGCTGCTGCTGAGGCGGAGGTTGCAGAGACATCGGGGATGGCGCCTGAGCCTTGCCCGGTGTTGGCGTCCCCGCAGCGGAGACGGCGGGCGCCATCTGCGGTGTGGCCGGCTCGACCTGCGGCTTGGCCATGGTCGACGCAGCCAGCGCGCGCGTGTTGCTGCTCTCCCTCCTGCGCTTGGGCGCGTCCTTGATTTTGGGGTGTGTGTGACACTTAAAGACAGTCAGTGAGTGAGAGTTTCGATAGGCCGTAGTGAGGAGCCATCTTACCTTGTAGGCGTGCCTGAACCACGTCGTTCCCTTCTTCTTGCTGCTGACCAGCGCAATCCACTCGTTGCAACTTCCGCAGAGGCCCTCCCACACATCAGGATTGCCATCCATGCGCCTCGTCTCTTGCGGCTCCTGGAAGGGGTTGCCGGTGGCGGCGCTGATGCCGTGGGTGAAGCTCTTGTCGTACCAGAAAGCCGAGTTCTTAAGCACCAGCCACCGGCCTGGCTTGCAAATACCACACCAGCCTTCCCGCTTGTTTCCGTGTCCTCGCACCCACCGAGGCGTGTACAGGTCACCTTCAAACCGGAGCTCCTGCTCATGGGGGATGAGGTCCTGGTCGGTCGGGTTCATGTCCTCAGGCGGTGGGGGAATCTGTTCTTCGTGCAGCGAGGCATACAAATCAGGCGGGTCCGAGAGATCAGCGTAGTGGCTGTGGAGCGAATGCGGGTCGGCGTTGCTCTGAAGCATCCGGAAGAGGCCGTGAGAAAGAAGAGGAGGAGGATTCTCGAATTGATGGTGGTGCGTTTCGGGATGGAAGGTATGGGACGGTAGCTGGGTTGGTAGGAGCATGCTGTTGCGTTGAAAGGCCGGCGCGTTGCTGTAAAGATACGGATGCTGCTGTGCAGCCTGGAGGTTCCCGAAGCTCAAGGGGAGCTGGCCTTGCGCAACCGTGGGTGAGGAGTGGCGCGACGACAAACGGGCGTGCATATTAAACGCATCGTGCGGGTGGTGGTACACAAAGGGGGATGGCCGCCGGTTGGACGCGGTACCATAAGACCCAGTAGACCATCTCTTGTTCCTCGCGCTCTCGACGGAATAGGGCGCAGCGCGCACTCCCGGCCGCGGCGACGGCGAGGCCCTTCCTCTGCTCTGAGTCCGCACCTTCCGCCGGCTTTGCGGTGTCTTCTCGTGCGAAGCGCGGGGGCTGCTGGGTCGCGGATCTGGCGTCCGGTTGGTGGGGCGGGTATCGGAGTGGCGGGGCGCTCCGGGCGCGTCGGAATCGTCGTGGAGCCTTTCCGCGCCCCGTCGTCGCCGGTGAGGCGGCCGGCTTCTGCGCGGGTTCTTCCTCGAGGCCTCGGGTCGTTGTCCTCGGGGGCCCCGGGTCTCGGTCGGGTCGGATCGCCTCGTCGGTCGTGTCGCCTGCCCTTCTGTCGGATCAACCCGGGATCCCCGGTTACCGTCCATGGTTTCTGCGCCCCGCTCTGGGGGGGGGTTGCCCCTCGTGGCCCCTGCCCGTCGGGTCTCCTGCTGTCCTGGTGGTGGCGGGGTAAGTCTTGTGACCGAGATGGCCTGGGGACATGCGTCGCTTGGGGTGTTGCTCTGCTTGCTGTCGGTCCCCGCCGGCAGCCCCCGACCCTTCCCCGCGCGAACGAAGCCCTCGTGGTTGTAGCGGGCCGCGGCCTCTGCTCTGGAAGCCGGTGCGCCCCTCGGTTGCGGGCTCCCTGTGTCCGTTCTGGGCGGTGCGTGGTTTCCCGTTCTGGCGGG